TTAGTGCGAAATTGAGACACCTTAAGAAGGTTCACAAACTAAACTTGTCCGCCTTGTATGAATTGTTTAATGATCCGCAAGTCACCCTGCAGTACATCAAATCAGCTCTACAGAGAGCAGATCCTTTCACAAAAGCATTGGAACCGTGCAAATGGAACACCGCATTGGAACTTTTGAACATTCAGCCTCCGTGAATTCATTCTGCCATGCTTAGAATAAATTCAGGAGTCTACCAATTTACTGCAGTACCATTTTGGTCTCATCATGCATGCAATGTTAGTGTCACCAATTGCCCACTTGGACTGAAACATGAACCGAATTCATAATAGATCCAATGGTGTGTTAGCCTTTTCCTGGCTCCACCATATATGAGTGAGCAGTACAGACCTATGCATGCCATCCTTAACCTGTTGAAAGAACTTACATCATTAATATGATAGTTCGAGGAATCCAGTTTGCATGCGCTGTGACATATCCCATGTCTTAACATAGCACAGCCAGCGGGTCCATGGTAAATATATCCATGTTCCCGGACTTTGGCTCAAGTGTGCCCTGCGACAAAAGGCCGCGCGTTGCTGCTGCCATAGTGTTCTTGCATTGGGGCATACAATACAGTTTTCTCGTATTATAATATAGAATAAAGGATAATGTAAAATATATACTATATACTATATACTAATATACTATATACTATATACTATATACTATATACTACATAATATATACTATATACTATTTACTAAATACTATATACTACATACTATATACTTTACTATATAATATAGTATATATTATACATAGTATATACTATATCCTGTATTTTACAAAACATCAAATATTATATATTGCATAATATTCATTTTAAAAATATATACTTTTTAATATATAACATATAATGCAAAGTTTTGAACAGATGAAATATAATATTTAGCATATATTATATAATATATGATTTTTAATTTATAGAATATTATATGTAATTTTAATATACAATATACAATATATTATACATAATATATAATATCTGATATTTAATATATAATATATAAAGTAGCATGTTTTGATTTAAAATACTGTAATATAATAATAATGTTAATAATAAAAATAAAAGGACCGGATAACACCACAAGCCAATTTCTTCCAATAATGAGCCAGAAATGGTGTAGCGGGGACGGGGAAGGAAGGAAAGACAACAGAGAAGGTGGAGGAAAGATGGTGTGTGACAAAGCTGGGTGTGAAAGATAGCGTGTGAAAGCTGTGTGTGAAAGAGTGGGTGTGGCAAAGTTGTGTGTGAAAGATGGTGTGTGACAAAGTGGTGTGTGAAAGATGGTGTGTGAAAAATGGTCTGTAACGGTGAATGAAAGATGGTGTGTGTCAAAGATGTGGTGTCAAAGATGGTGTGTGAAAGATGGTGTTTGACAAAGTGGTGTGTGAAAGATGGTGTGTGGTGAAAGATGTGTGTGAAAGACGGTGTGTGAAAGATGGTGTGTGACAAAGTTGTGTGGGAAAGATTGTGTGTGACAAAGTGGTGTGTGAAAGATGGTGTGTCGAAGATGATGTGAAAGATGGTGTGTGAAAGATGGTGGGTGACAAAGTTGTGTGTGAAAGATGGTGTGTATAAATGGTGTGTCAAAGATGGTGCGTGAAAGATGGTGTGTAAAAGGAGGTGTGTCAAAGATGGTGTGTGAAAGATGGTGTGCGACAAAGTGGTGTGAAAGATGATGTGTGAAAGATGGTGTGTGACAAAGTTGGGTGTGAAAGATTGTGTGTGAAAGCTGTGTGTGAAAGAGAGGGTGTGACAAAGTTGTGTGTGAAAGATGGTGTGTGACAAAGTGGTGTGCAAAAGATGGTGTGTGAAAAATGGTCTGTGACGGTAAATGAAAGATGGTGTGCGTGTGTCAAAGATGTGTGTGAAAGATGGTGTGTGTGACAAAGTGGTGTGTGAAAGACGGTGTGTAAAAGATGGTGTGTGACAAAGTGGTGTGTCAAAAATGCTGTGAGAGCCAGCCCAGAACTCCTCCAGGAGGCTCTGTGTGCTGCGCCTGCCACACAAAAGGCAGCCGCGGCCCCAGTGGCGCCCACGCGCGCCGCAGCTCCACCAGGAGGCTCTGTGTACTGCGCCTGCCACGCGAAAGGCAGCCGCGGCCCCAGCGGCGCCCACGCGCGTCGGAGGTTGACCAGGAGGCTCTGTGTACAGCGGCTGCCACGTGAAAGGCAACCGCGGCCCCAGCGGCGCCCACGTGCGCCCGTGCTCCACCAGGAGGATCTGTGTACAGCGCCTGCCACACGAAAGGCAGCCGCGGCCCCAGCGGCGCCCACGCGCGCCGTACTGTGCCTGCCATGCGAAACGCAGCCGCGGGCCAGCTGTGATGAGTGCTGTGATAAGTGAGGTGTGAGAAGTGGAGCTGTGATGAGTTGTGATGCGATAAGTAAGGTGTGAGAAGTGGAGCGGTGATGAATTGTGATGAGAAGTGGAGCTGTGATGAGTGAGGTGTGAGAAGTGGAGCTGTGAGGAGTTGTGAAAGATGGTGTGTGAAAGATGGTGGGTGACAAAGTTGTGTGTGAAAGATGGTGTGTAAAAGATGGTGTGTCAAAGATGGTGCGTGAAAGATGGTGTGTAAAAGGAGATGTGTCAAAGATGGTGTGTAAAAGGAGATGTGTCAAAGATGGTGTGTGAAAGATGGTGGGTGACAAAGATGTGTGTGAAAGATGGTGTGTAAAAGACAAAGTTGTGTGTGAAAGATTGTGTGTGAAAGCTGTGTGTGAAAGAGAGGGTGTGACAAAGTTGTGTGTCAAAGATGGTGTCTGACAAAGCTGGGTGTGAAAGATTGTGTGTGAAAGCTGTGTGTGAAAGAGAGGGTGTGACAAAGTTGTGTGTGAAAGATGGTGTGTAAAAATGGTGTGTCAAAGATGGTGCGTGAAAGATGGTGTGTAAAAGGAGGTGTGTCAAAGATGGTGTGTGAAAGATGGTGTGCGACAAAGTGGTGTGAAAGATGATGTGTGAAAGATGGTATGTGACGAAGTGGTGTGACAAAGATGGTGTGCGAAAGATGGTGTGTGACAAAGTCGTGTGTCAAAGATGGTGTGTGACAAAGCTGGGTGTGAAAGATTGTGTGTGAAAGCTGTGTGTGAAAGAGAGGGTGTGACAAAGTTGTGTGTGAAAGATGGTGTGTGACAATTGTGTGAAAGATGGTGTGTGAAAAATGGTCTGTGACGGTGAATGAAAGATGGTGTGCGTGTGTCAAAGATGTGGCAGCCGCGGCTCCAGCGGCACCCACGCGCGCCGCAGCTCCACCAGGAGGCTCTGTGTACTGCGCCTGCCACGCGAAAGGCAACCGCGGCCCCAGGTGCGCCTACGCGCGCCGCTGCTCCTCGAGGAAGCTCTTTGCATAGCGACTGCCACAAGAAAGGCAGCCGCGGCCCCAGCGTCGCCCACGCGCGCCCGTGCTCCACCAGGAGGATCGTGTACAGCGCCTGCCACGCGAAAGGCAGCCGCGGCCCCAGCGGCGCCCACGCGCGCCGCAGCTCCATTAGGATGCTCTGTGTACTGCGCCTGCCATGCGAAAGGCAACCGCGGCCCCAGCGGCGCCCACGCGCGCCGCTTCTCCTCGAGGAAGTTCTGTGTATAGCGCCTGCCACACGAAAGGCAGCCGCGGCCCCAGCGGCGCCCACGCGCCCCGCAACGCCTCCAGGAGGTTCTGTGTACTGCGCCTGCCACGCGAAAGGCAGCCGCGGGCCAGCTGTGATGAGTGCTGTGATGAGTGAGGTGTGAGAAGTGGAGCTGTGATGAGTTGTGATGCGATAAGTGAGGTGTGAGAAGGAGTGGAGCGGTGATGAGTTGTGATGAGAAGTGGAGCGGTGATGAGTTGTGATGAGAAGTGGAGCTTTGATAAGTGAGGGGTGTGAAGTGGAGCTGTGATGAGTTGTGATGTGATAAGTGAGGTGTGAGAAGTTGAGTTGTGGGATGAGGGAGCGGCGGCGGGAACGGTCGGGAACAGGAGCGGCGGGATCCAAGCGAAAAACAAGAACCCCACACAGTGATGTGGGGAACAATAACAACAGTATATATATATATGTCAATAAAATATTATACATATATTTAGATGTATACTAAAAAATGTATTGAAATATTATGTAATATACAATATAATATAATATGATATAGCATAAGAAAATAGAATATAATGTAAGATAATATAATATAATAATATAATAATATAATATGTAATATAATATAATATAATATTTAGTATAATATAATATAATATATAACAAATAATATAATATAATAAAATATAATATAACATAATATAATATAATATTATATATATAATATAGTAAAATATATTAATATTAATATAATATAATATGATATAATATGATTTGGTATAATTTAATATGATTTAACTATAACGATATTAAAAGATACTCAATGGCACTTGATGATACTTGATACGTCATGAAACTTAAGGACACTTAATGATAATTAATTCAGATAAATGACACACACACACATATATGTACATATATATATATGTTGTAAATTATTCAGAATGCGGGTGAAAGACGTGTCGAACCATCCCCAACATCACCCAAGAAGGGGTGAAGGACGTCGATGGAATTCAATGGACCAAACTCGCATACCCCGAAAATGGATGAACGTTGGGTGGTTTGAAACCGGTAAGAGTCGGCATGTGTGGAGCAAAGGGGGAATGCCCCCCGATTCCAATAAAGATGAGATACCTATGATTGGGCAGGATTGGCGAACTTTATAGCGTTTATATGCGTGTATAGTCTTAACAATCCCTAAACGTGGGGTGAATTTTTGTTCATCAACGCCTCACCGTCCAACGAGAAGGTCGTGGGATAATCCCAGTGACATCATGGGGAGCCTCTGGTACTGAAACATGGCCGGAAAATCCCCCAGATGCCATAATTTGGTGATAGTCCCCATGTTTGACAAGCAGTTCCAACAAACACCTCACCTCGTGATCCGGGAG